GGGCCCCCCTGCCCCTTGGGGGCCCCCAAGAGGGCCCCTGGAGGGCGAAATGTAGCGCTGGAGGAGAGAGTCTGACGGTGTCAGCGGTGCTGTCGTACCTGACGATGGCTGACGACACACGACACACTCCTTGATGCGCTGCTGTCCAAGGGATGAAATCATAGGTCAGTACCTATTGTAGGATACCTGGTACCTATCTCTTTATGTACCTATCGTGGGATACCTGATATCTCTCCTGGGATACCTAATACCTACCCTGGGATACCTGATACCTATTTCTTCATGTATCTATTGTGGAATACCTATCTCTTTATGTACCTATCCTGGGATACCTGATAACTATCTCTTCCTTGTACCTATCGTGGATATGCATGTTCTAGTTGAGTACCTATCGTGGGATATACGTAAGCCCTAACCTCTTCTTTTGTACCTATGGTACCTATCGTGGAACATATGTACATCCCACACTGCACAACACGTACCTGTGGTCATATGTACTTAATATGTACTACATATATGCACCTGTCTTGTACCTGAATACATAATTATGTACCTGAGTACTTAACTAGATCCATAACTTCTATTTTATGTACGTTAATTAGGTTCCTCTCTGAGGGTGATCTAATTACCTTTCACCTGCGTCCACTCTGTAATTACATTAATTAGCAATAAACTTGTTTCTTCTTCTTCTCCTCATTATTTTAATAATAATGTAATAATAATAATAATAATAATAATAATAATAATAATAATAATAATAATAATAATAATAATAATAATAATAATAATAATAATAATAACTGAGTTGACCAGAGTTACTGTCTCTACCAGCACCTTGACTGCCTCGGGGATCTCATATCTGGGGGAGATAGGGTGAGATGGGGAGAGATAGGGAGACATAGGGATACACACTCACACTCACCGGTAGTCTGACCATATCTTAATATTATGGACCACGAAATAAGGTGTCCAGCAAGCCACGAAGGTCAGGATAATTAAGAAGGTCATCTTAATAGTTTTAATCCTGGCCCTGGTCAGGGACCGGGAACTGAGATTGGTCTTCCGCAAGATGGGGTGGCCCGGTGGTCTGGTGGCTAAAGCTCCCGCTTCACACACGGAGGGCCCGGGTTCGATTCCCGGCGGGTGGAAATTCCGACACGTTTCCTTACACCTATTGTCCTGTTCACCTAGCAGCAAATAGGTACCCGGGTGTTAGTCGACTGGTGTGGGTCGCATCCTGGGGGACAAGATTAAGGACCACAATGGAAATAAGTTAGACAGTCCTCGATGACGCACTGACTTTCTTGGGTTATCCTGGGTGGCTAACCCTCCGGGGTTAAAAATCCGAACGAAATCTTATCTTATCTTATCTCTTATCGTGTACCCATCTGTAGCAAAACACAAATAAAAACATATAAACTCTAATTTTTAAAATATATAGCATTTTCTCAGGGTTTATAAAGATAAATATGTTAAGTCTGTAGTCGCTTCACGACCCTGTGTTGTTTAACACCAGTCCACTCAAAAAGTCTTTTATTTGAAGACATTTCGACCAATATGGGGGCTTATTGCAAGTCTCACGGCTGTCAAAACGTCGCTGGATGAGGGACTTTTTCTGTTCATGTCTCTGGTCTGGCTGGATGGGTCTTTGGTCTGGCTGGAGGGCAATGATCTGGCAATCTGCAGACCCAACGATGACTGGTCTGAAAAACAAGACTAATTCATCTGAATGTTGCTATGCAAAGAAGTGTGTTGCACAGAGGTGTTGCATAGAGATGCTGCACGGAGGTTTTGCAAGGACATCTCGTTTAAATTGCTGTCTCACCCAAACTGATGTTTCGCTTGAAGCCACGTCTCTCTTTGTAAAACTAATGAGTCGTCCAAGAGCTTGAGAGGTTGGTGAAGACATTGAGAGTAAACAGAGCTCCTTTTAGGTGCCGTTGTAGCCAACCCTATTTACATAGGATGAAGAGGATGCGCTAGGATGAACAGAAGCTATTGAAAACTACGAGAGCAATCCAATTCTTTGTGTCGTAGAGAAACTGGTAACTTCAAGGATTACCTTGTACCTAGTTCAGCCATCAAAACTTTGGAGCCCGGTCCCTGGACCCATTGTGTACCTCTGTAATCTGTAAATACCTTTGTAACTTGTCATGATTGTGACTAGACCTACCTGGAGTTCATTACCTTTGTAAATTGTGAGTTCATTACCTTTGTAAATTGTGAATTCATTACCTCTGTAACTTGCTCAGCTATCAAAACTTTGAGGCCCAGTCCCTGGACCAATTATGTACCTAAACTTCAAGGAGGATTGAACGCCTTTGGACGAAGAAAAGCGGATGGGGATAAACAGAGGCCAACGGGAATGAACAGAAGCCAACAGAATTAACAAGCCAACTGGATGGGCAGAAACTATTGGAAATTAAGAGAGAAATCCAGTAGTTTGTGTCGTTCGAGTCATTGGTAACTTCAAAGAGGACTGAATGCATTTGGACTACAAAAGCAAACAGGAACGAACAGAAGCCAACGGGAATGAACAGAAGCCAACGGGAATGAACAGAAGCCAACGGAATGACCTCAATGGGGGTGGTAGTGGGCTAATGGGGGTAGTAGTGGGTTGACGGGGGTGGTAGTGGGTTAATGGGGGTATTAGTGGGTTAATGGGGGTGGTAGCGGGTTAATGGGGGTAGTAGTGGGTTAATGGCCGAGGTAATGGGTTAATGGGGTGGTAGTGGGTTAATGGGGATAGTAGTGGGTTAATGGGGGGTAGTAGTGGATTAATGGGTGTAGTAGTGGGTTAATGAGGGTGGTAGTGGGTTAATGGGGGTAGTAGTAGGTTAATGGGAGACGTAGTGGGTTAATGGGGGTGGTAGTGGGTTAATGGGGGTAGTAGTGGGTTAATGGGGGATGTAGTGGGTTAATGGAGGTGGTAGTGGGTTAATAAAGGTAGTAGTGGGTTAATGGGGGTGGTAGTGGGTTAATGGGGTGGTAGTGGGTTAATGGGAGTGATAGTGGGTTAATGGGGGGTAGTAGTGGGTTAATGGGGGTAGTAGTGGGTTATTGGGAGTAGTAGTGGGTTAATGGGGGGGTAGTTTACCTGGAGTTTACCTGGAGAGAGTTTCGGGGGTCAACGCCCCCGCGGCCCGGTCTGTGACCAGGCCTCCTGGTGGATCAGCGCCTGATCAACCAGGCTGTTGCTGCTGGCTGCACGCAAACCAACGTACGAGCCACAGCCCGGCTGATCAGGAACTGCCTTTAGGTGCTTGTCCAGTGCCAGCTTGAAGACTGCCAGGGGTCTGTTGGTAATCCCCCTTATGTGTGCTGGGAGGCAGTTGAACAGTCTCGGTCCCCTGACACTTATTGTATGGTCTCTTAACGTGCTAGTGACACCCCTGCTTTTCATTGGGGGGATGGTGCATCGTCTGCCAAGTCTTTTGCTTTCGTAGTGAGTGATTTTCGTGTGCAAGTTCGGTACTAGTCCCTCTAGGATTTTCCAGGTGTATATAATCATGTATCTCTCCCTCCTGCGTTCCAGGGAATACAGGTTTAGAAACCTCAAGCGCTCCCAGTAATTGAGGTGTTTTATCTCCGTTATGCGCGCCGTGAAAGTTCTCTGTACATTTTCTAGGTCGGCAATTTCACCTGCCTTGAAAGGTGCTGTTAGAGTGCAGCAATATTCCAGCCTAGATAGAACAAGTGACCTGAAGAGTGTCATCATGGGCTTGGCCTCCCTAGTTTTGAAGGTTCTCATTATCCATCCTGTCATTTTTCTAGCAGATGCGATTGATACAATGTTATGGTCCTTGAAGGTGAGATCCTCCGACATAATCACTCCCAGGTCTTTGACGTTGGTGTTTCGCTCTATTTTGTGGCCAGAATTTGTTTTGTACTCTGATGAAGATTTAATTTCCTCATGTTTACCATATCTGAGTAATTGAAATTTCTCATCGTTGAACTTCATATTGTTTTCTGCAGCCCACTGAAAGATTTGGTTGATGTCCGCCTGGAGCCTTGCAGTGTCTGCAATGGAAGACACTGTCATGCAGATTCGGGTGTCATCTGCAAAGGAAGACACGGTGCTGTGGCTGACATCCTTGTCTATGTCGGATATGAGGATGAGGAACAAGATGGGAGCTAGTACTGTGCCTTGTGGAACAGAGCTTTTCACCGTAGCTGCCTCGGACTTTACTCTGTTGACGACTACTCTCTGTGTTCTGTTAGTGAGGAAATTATAGATCCATCGACCAACTTTTCCTGTTATTCCTTTAGCGCGCATTTTGTGCGCTATTACGCCATGGTCACACTTGTCGAAGGCTTTTGCAAAGTCTGTATATATTACATCTGCATTCTTTTTGTCTTCTAGTGCATTTAGGACCTTGTCGTAGTGATCCAGTAGTTGAGACAGACAGGAGCGACCTGTTCTAAACCCATGTTGCCCTGGGTTGTGTAACTGATGGGTTTCTAGATGGGTGGTGATCTTGCTTCTTAGGACCCTTTCAAAGATTTTTATGATATGGGATGTTAGTGCTATTGGTCTGTAGTTCTTTGCTGTTGCTTTACTGCCCCCTTTGTGGAGTGGGGCTATGTCTGTTGTTTTTAGTAACTGAGGGACGACCCCCGTGTCCATGCTCCCTCTCCATAGGATGGAAAAGGCTCGTGATAGGGGCTTCTTGCAGTTCTTGATGAACACAGAGTTCCATGAGTCTGGCCCTGGGGCAGAGTGCATGGGCATGTCATTTATCGCCTGTGGATTAATGGGTGTAGTAGTGGGTTAATGGGGGTAGTAGTGGGTTAATGGGGTGGTAGTGGGTTGATGGGGGCAGTAGTGAGTTAATAGGGTGATAGTGGTTTAATGGGGGTGGTAGTGGGTTAATGAGGATTGTAGTGGGTTAATGGGGGTGGTAGTGGGTTAATGGGGGTGGTAGTGGGTTAATGGGGGTAGTAATGCGTTAATGGGGGGTAGTAGTGGGTTAATGGGGGTGGTAGTGGGTTAAGTGGGGTGGACAATGAGAGAGGTGTGAGGCAAGACAGACAGTGAACAGTGAACAGAGCAGTTCCAGTCACACTGCTGGTCTGACCACCAGCACTGCTCTCTCTGTGGTACTGCCCCTGCAAGGACTCACAGTAGCAGTGCCAACCCACAGTAACAGTGCCAGGCTAAAGTACTAAAGACTTCCAACAGTGCCACATGTACCAACAGTGAAAAACTACGTCACCATCAACAGTGTAGCTATATCTAACGTTCCTTCCATCACCACCACAGTAGGCCTACTAGTATTTAGTAAATGCTGAATAATTTTGAACAAACATAAGCATTAATTAACAGACTGTACAACAGGAAACCATTTAACGGAAACGGGAATAATCACAGAGCTTCAAGTTGCGGAAACATCCTGGCGCATCAAGGAACAGCAACAGGACAACAAGGAACTTCAATTAGCCGCAGAAACCATCCAAGAAGCAACAACAGAAGCTTAAAGAAGCATCAAGGAACATCGAAGTACCCCACGAAGTAGAGAATGGCGCCAGCCAGCCGCCGAAGAACGACCTCCGAACTGAGGACCTCAAAACCCAGGACCTCCAAATCCAGGACCTTCGAATCCAGGACCTGGCTTCTCGCTCTGGTCTCTTTAACAAGTAAGTCCTTGTGAGGAATATCACTTCTTATATATCCGCTATACACTGTATGTTTATTAACGTTACCAATGATAATTAAGGTCATTAATGTTTTTTAAGACCTGGTAATCAAGGGTCTGGGACTAACAGCTGATGCATGGACAAGCTGGTGGATGGACCAGCTGGTGGTACTGGGCTGGGACCAACAGTTGGTGGATGGACCAGCTGGTGGTTTTGATCTGAGACTAACAGCTGGTGAAAGAACTAGCTGGTGGTTCTGGTCTGGGACCAACATACCCAGGTTGTCTCATACTCAAGTTGCCTCATACCCATGTTCCCTCATACCCATATTACTTCATACCCATGTAGCCTCATATACATGTTCCCTCATACCCATGTTGCCTCATATTCATGTTGCCTCATACCCATACTCCTTCACACCCATGTTGCCTCATACTCACGTTGTCTCATAACCATGTTGCATCATACTCATGTTGTCGCTAGAGGGCGAATATACGCAGAAAATGGCGGCAGCTGGTCCAGGACTCGCTTCGCGAGGCATCACTTTGATGCCTCATTTAACCTGGAGGTTTGGTCTAGGACCGAGGTACAGGGGAGGGAGGTCTGGTCTTGGACCGATGTACGGGGGAGGGAGGTCTGGTCTAGGACCGTGCTACGGGGGGGGAGAGGAGAAGGGAGGGGTGAACTACCCCTAGAACTGTCAACAGGTCTGGAACAGATAAAGAGATGATGTGGGAGGCTTTGGTCGTAGGATTGATAGGTAGAGTGAGCCTCTTTCTCTCTCTTTCTCTCTCTCTCTCTCTCTCTCTCTCTCTCTCTCTCTCTCTCTCTCTCTCTCTCTCTCTGTGTGTGTGTGTGTGTGTGTGTGTGTGTGTATCTCTGTATCTCTGTTTGTCACTGTCTTTCTGTCTGTCTATTTATCTCGCTCTGGATATATATATATATATATATATATATATATATATATATATATATATACATTGAGAGATGTATATGTCTCTCAGTGTATATACACTGATAGTGTACATTAATCACCATTTTTAGGTATTAAAGTATTCTTGACTGGTGGTGAACAGGTGACATGCAGCTTTGATGACTGTCGTGTAGCAGATAGACTTCAACCCCCCATTAATCAACCAGATTTAGTACTTGGATGGTGGGTATCTTATTGTGACCTTCGTGGTCAAGACGGTGAAACTAAGTTAGAGCTGCTGGCCCATGAGCTGGAATCTCTGGGCTCTTCTCTCCCCCATTGTCAAGCTGTCGGAAGTATCTGCACTCCAGGCAGCCAGTTTTAAGCTTGTAAACCAGCTTAAAGCTGACTTTAAGCTTGTAAACCAGTTTAAAGCTGACTTTAAGCTTATAACCCAACTTAAAGCTTACTTTAAGCTTGTAAACCAGTTTAAAGCTGACTTTAAGCTTGTAAACCAGCTTAAAGCTGACTTTAAGCTTGTAAACCAGCTTAAAACTTACTTTAAGCTTGTAAACCAGCTTAAAGCTGACTTTAAGCTTGTAAACCAGTTTAAAGCTGACTTTAAGCTTGTAAATCAGTTTAAATCTTACTTTAAGCTTGTAAACCAGCTTAAAGCTGGCTGCTAGAGAAGTTTTGATCCTGTTTACATTTACAAAGTGGGCCGTAAATGGGCTATGGATTTACAGCGGTTCCTGATAGCACTTGCTGACCCCTGTTCATCTGGAAGTAATTAGGTATCTGGGTGCTAGTGGGATGTCGTGGGCGGCATCCTGGGGGGAGGGACCTAATAAACAGCGTCAGTGTAAAAGTGATGATAATAATGATAATGATAACGATGATGATAATAATGATAATGATAGTGGGGGAGAGGGGAAGGGAGGGGAGAGAGGGGAAGGGAGGGGGGAGAGGGGTGAGAGGGTGACCTCTCGTTTTATAAAGGAAGAAAAAAGGTGTGGCCAGCTTTCTCCTGTGGTCTGTCATTGTGCTATTGATTCTATTTTTTTTACCGAGGCTGTCTCTTGAGAGAGCCCTCTCACTGCACTCTCACTCCTTTCTCCCCTCTCACTACGCCCTCAGCACTTTCTCCCCTCTCTTGTTCTCTTTAATATCTATGAGTTGTGCAGCTGGGACACTCTGAAAGGCATCGGGTCAATTTCAGTCTGAGATCCAGTCAACAATCACAGTGGACCAGTGTGTTAACACACTGGACCAGTGTGTTAATCACTGGACTAGTGTGTTATCCACTGGTCCAGTGTTGAAATTCATTGAATTGAGACTGAGGGAGACTGACACCAGTCAGTCCACTCATCATTCTATCATGCAGAAGGAGCCACATGTCTACAGTACATCCAGTATCATCATCAGACTCCTGGATGTTACTAGTTCCAGGTTGAGGCTGGGCTACCAACATCACTTTGAGAGATGACCATCACCACCTGTAATCTTTGCTAGAGGGCCATTGATGCCACACCTGACGTCACTATGTGTCCTCTCAGTGTATATACATTGAGAGCTAGCCACCTCTCTGTGCATATGACCTTGAACATCTAACTCACCTATACACTCTTGAACTATACAAGATGTATGTGTATATTTACATGACCACTTATTAAAGTATACCCTCTCTCTTTACAGTCATGGCTGGATGTGTATCACCTGAGACACAAGGGTCCTTAGACACTCCGTTCATCTACCAGGTAATACACACACACACACACACACACAACTGGAATCTGAAGACTCAGACGAGTCACAGGGATGTTAGGAAGTATTTCTTCAGTCATAGAGTTGTCAGCAAGTGGAATAGCCTAGCAAGTGAAGTAGTGGAGGCAGGAACCATACATAGTTTTAAGAAGAGGTATGACAAAGCTCAGGAAGCAGAGAGAGAGAGGATCCAGTAGCGATCAGTGAAGAGGCGGGGCCAGGAGCTGAGTCTCGACCCCTGCAACCACAATTAGGTGAGTACACACACACACACACACACACACACACACACACACACACACACACAGGCTTCATGTAGGCTCCAGCAAATATTCAAAGAGGTGTTAAGACAATGGCGTCTACGAGGCTTGACATCAAGCTTCCATTCAAGGTTTCCAGGCCACTCCCCACACCTCTCTTACCCGACCACCTTCACTACAAAGACTCAGCTGAACACTGGAACACCTGGGACTGAACACCTAGTGACAGCGGGGAACAAGGGAACGTTAGTACAAGGGTTGAGAGGAACTAACTTGGAACACAGAACAATATGTAAACACTATGGTAGTAACACTACCATAACACTATGGTAGTAACACTACCATAACACTATGGTAGTAACACTACCATAACACTATGATAGTAACACTACCATAACACTATGGTAGTAACACTACCATAACACTATGGTAGTAACACTACTGTACCGATACTGGAATCATATTTCTCATTACTAAGAAATATCTGTGTGTTTATGTCTCAGGAACGGAGCGCGAGACGGCGTCCACCTCTCTCAGACGTCCTCCTGCCCCAGGAACGCCCACAGCAGGAAGGGCATCCACTGCAAGAGGGACGTCTTCAGCAAGAGGGGCAACCACAGCAGAAAGGGCGTCCAAAACAGGATGGACGTCCTCAGGTCCAGGTGCGTCCACAGGTTCAGGGACATCTACAACAACAAGGACGTCTACAGAAGCAGGGACCTCTACAGCAACAGCAGGAACGGCCGCAGCAGGAGGGGCATCTACAGCAGCAGGGAAGCAGACAGAGCCAGGGACTCCCACAGCAGAAGGGATGCAGACAGGTACAAGGACTTCCACAGCAGAAGGGACGCAGACAGAACCAGGAACGCCCACAGCAGCAAGGACGAATGCAGATCCAGGGACGTCCAGAACAGAATGGAAGCAGACAGAGCCAGGGACTCCCACAGCAGAAGGGAAGCAAACAAAGTCAGGGACTCCCACAGCAGAAGGGACGCAGACAGATCCAGGGACTCCCACAGCAGCAAGGACGAAGGCAGATCCAGGGACGTCCAGAACAGAATGGAAGCCGACAGAGCCAGGTACTCCCACAGCAGAAGGAACCCTTGGAGGCAGAGGCTTCCTCTGCGTCCCTTGGTTCTCTGCAAGTATCTGTCGAAGAAAAAAAGAGGCCTCCAGTGATTCCCAGCTCCAGCAGTGTTCTCCAAGGCTCTGGGGAGGAGAACAAGCAACCTCCAGTGACCTCCGCCTCCAGCGGTGTTCTCCAAGCACCTAGCGAGGAGAACAAGAAACCTCAAGTGACCTCCACCTCCAGCGTTGTTCTCCAAGCATCAAGAACACGCAAGAACGCTGTCAAAACAACGCTGGAAATCGTTCAACCGGCGACGCCGACAGCGCCGCTGGGAAGGCCGGCTAGCGGCGGGACTAAAGACAGCAGAGAGACAAAGGAATTCCCATCGCTCCTGGAAGAGCCTTTCCTGCCCTCGAAACTGCCGCCAGTCAAGCAGGTCTCTCCTTTCGAGGTGCCAAAAATCGGCAAGGTGGAGCCTTTTAAGTTGCTGGAGGTGGGTCCAGACTTGGACGACACCCACCTGGGGAAGCCTCCGGGGACTAACAACCTTTCTGGGGATTTTGAGGGGTTCATTCCCCTCCTTCCTCCCTCGGGAGGGACAGAGCCAGATGGCTCCCTCCCCAGGCTAATTCCTATCGGTGAAATCCCTGAACGCAAGGTTCCCCCTGCGTTCTCAGGTCACAAATCTCCTCAGTTCTCCGGTAAATCCCCCGGTCCAGCCTTCCAAAGTAATCCTGCTGTCAGCAAGGCAACTGGCCAACCAGGGAAGCCTCAAAAGGATGAATCCTTAAGTCCTCTAAGTCCTAACGTCCCCAATAGACAAATCCCCTCGAATGTAACTCCTGTACGATCCCCAGCGCACCACCCCCCAGGCCCAACTGGTAAAACCCCCCACCAAAGTCAACCTATTAACCTTTCTACACGGAAACCCCAGCCCCCAGTCTCCCCTAGCCCTCATACAGGGTTTAAATCCCACCCGAGGGAAACCCAGGCTACACCACTAGGTAAATCCTCTTTTTCCAGCACTTCGATCAAGTCTCCTCCTCCAGCACCTCACCCATCAGCCTCTACCTCATCCCTAGGAGACAAAGCTCCCCTAGGAGGCCCTCTCCAGCCTCCAGGACATCTAGGAAGCTCGTCCCTAGCCTCAAGACTCCCAGCAGCACCTCTCAACACCAAACACAGCTTCCCAGATCTGTCAGATGAGGGAACTGTCACCCCCACACTGAAGGTCGCACCGCCGCTTGATTTGCCAATATACAACCTGGGACCTCAAGTCCTACCCCAGCAGGAAGACCTAACTGGTCTGGGGGGGTCCTCACCCCTGGTCACCCCCTTCAACCCCTTCTCCACCCTGGTCTTACCAGGATCTGGGACCGGACTAGGTGGCAGACAGACCTATTACCACCTACCACTGCAAATCCCCATTCTGAACCTACCACACCAAGCTGGTGGAACCATAGGCTTCTAGTGTCATGGTAGAGCTTCCTGACACCTACTGCCCTGTGCACCTAGTAGTAAATAGGTACCTGGGTAGTACTTCCCTTACACCTACTGCCCTGTGCACCTGGTAGTAAACAGGTACCTGGGTATTAGTCCCCTTATACTTACTGCCCTGTAAACCTACTGCTACTACAACAACTACTACTATAACTACCACTGCTACTACTACCACTACTATGCTACTACTTTTTTCATTTCTTTTCATTACGTTGGTTGGTTAATGGGAGTTTCAAGTCTATCTACCACACGAGGGTCATTAAGGCTGCATGTCACCTGTTCACCACCAGTCAAGAATACTTTAACACATAAAATACTGATTAACGCAAACTATCAGTGTATATACACTGAGAAACATACACACCTCTCAGTGTATATAATTTGCTCCTCCGGATAATTTGTTCCCTTGGATAATTAGTAGTGAGTTATCTGCTAAAACATCATATAATTGTAGTATCTCTCAATAAAGTTAGTATTTGTTTTATCTGTCTTTTATTCCTGTTATCATTCCTGCAGTATAACAGCCTAATAACTCACCATACCACGGGCGGGGTTAGAACTCGCGACCAGAGTCATGAAACCCGGTGGCTAACGCGTCGGTCTGGAGTTTTATGACTCTCTGATCGCGGGTTCTAACCCCGCCCGTGGTATGGTTTGTTTGCAATCATGTCATTACGATTTCCTGAGCTCACTAACTCACAAGGAGACAGACACTCAGAAACCTAATTGGCCTGTATATTTTGGTCATCTTCTGGGGTCCTCTTCAGCGGATACATAAGGATTCCTGATGTTGTGCTGGCGTTGTGCTGGGTTGGTCGCTCGTTAGGTACTGTGTTAGGTTGGTTACTGGTTAGGTACTGTGTTAGGTTGGTTACTGGTTAGGTACTGTGTTAGGTTGGTTACTGGTTAGGTACTGTGTTAGGTTGGTTACTGGTTAGGTACTGTGTTAGGTTGGTTACTGGTTAGGTAGTGTGTTAGGTTGGTTACTGGTTAGGTACTGTGTTAGGTTGGTTACTGGTTAGGTACTGTGTTAGGTTGGTTACTGGTTAGGTACTGTGTTAGGTTGGTTACTGGTTAGGTACTGTGTTAGGTTGGTTACTGGTTAGGTACTGTGTTAGGTTGGTTACTGGTTAGGTACTGTGTTAGGTTGGTTACTGGTTAGGTACTGTGTTAGGTTGGTTACTGGTTAGGTACTGTGTTAGGTTGGTTACTGGTTAGGTACTGTGTTAGGTTGGTTACTAATTAGGTACTGTGTTAGGTTGGTTACTGGTTAGGTACTGTGTTAGGTTGGTTACTGGTTAGGTACTGTGTTAGGTTGGTTACTGGTTAGGTACTGTGTTAGGTTGGTTACTGGTTAGGTACTGTGTTAGGTTGGTTACTGGTTAGGTACTGTGTTAGGTACTGTGTTAGGTACTTCTTGGATTTCACAATGACATCTGGTTCCATTGTGGTTCTTGATGCCGTTATGTTGTGGTTCTTGATGCCGTTATGTTGTGGTTCTTGATGCCGTTATGTTGTGGTTCTTGATGCCGTTATGTTGGGGTTATTGATGCCGTTATGTTGTGGTTCTTGATGCCGTTATGTTGTGGTTCTTGATGCCGTTATGTTGTGGTTCTTGATGCCGTTATGTTGTGGTTCTTGATGCCGTTATGTTGTGGTTCTTGATGCCGTTATGTTGTGGTTCTTGATGCCGTTATGTTGTGGTTCTTGATGCCGTTATGTTGTGGTTCTTGATGCCCTTATGTTGTGGTTCTTGATGCCGTTATGTTGTGGTTCTTGATGCCGTTATGTTGAAGTGTGTGGAAGGTGCCAAGGGTGCCAGGGAGTTACCAGGAAGGTGCCAAGGGTGCCAGGAAGTTACCAGGAAGGTGCCAAGGATGCCAGGAGTTACCAAGAAGGTGCCATGGGTGCCATGGGTGTCATGGGTGCCATGGGTGCCATGGGTGCCATGGGTGTCAGGGGTGCCAGGGAGGTGCCAGAGAGGTACCAGGGGTGCCAGGGAGGTGCCAGGGGGGTGCCACCTGCTCCGCCCACGGGAGGTCGGTACCTTATTTGGATATTCTGGGAGACAGTGAATGTTGACTCACCATGGTGGTGGTAGTTGTGGTAGTTATGGTGGTGGTGGTGGTAGTTGTGGTAGTTATGGTGGTGGTGGTGGTAGTTGTGGTAGTTATGGTGGTGGTGGTGGTGGTGGTAGTTGTGGTAGTTATGGTGGTGGTGGTGGTGGTAGTTGTGGTAGTTATGGTGGTGGTGGTGGTGGTAGTTGTGGTAGTTATGGTGGTGGTGGTGGTAGTTGTGGTAGTTATGGTGGTGGTGGTAGTTGTGGTAGTTATGGTGGTGGTGGTGGTGGTAGTTGTAGTAATGGTGGTGGTGTGGTAGTTGTGGTAGTTATAGTGGTGGTGGTGGTGGTGGTGGTGGTGGTAGTTGTGATAGTTGTGATAGTGGTGGTAGTTGTGGTAGTTGTGATAATGGTGGTAGTTGTGGCAGTTATGGTGGTAGTGGTAGTTGTGATAGTTGTGATGGTGTTGGTAGTTGTGGTAGTTGTGATAATGGTGGTAGTTGTGTTAGCTGTGATGGTCGTGGTTGTGGTGATGGTGGTGGTAGTTGTAATAGTTGTGGTGATAATGGTGGTAGTTGTAATAGTTGTGGTGATAGTGGTGGTAGTTGTAATAGTTGTGGTGATAATGGTGGTAGTTGTAATAGTTGTGGTGATAGTGGTGGTAGTTGTAATAGTTGTGGTGATAATGGTGGTAGTTGTAATAGTTGTGGTGATTGTGGTGGTAGTTGTGGTGATAGTGGTGGTAGTTGTGGTAGTTGTGGTGATAGTGGTGGTAGTTGTGGTAGTTGTGTCCTGATGACACCCGAGGCTGCATGTCGGTAACCTCCATTAATAACACCGCAAGACTCCAGGCGGACATCAACCAGGCGGACATCAACCAGGTGGACATCAACCAGGCGGACATCAACCAGGTGGACATCAACCAGGCGGACATCAACCAGGTGGACATCAACCAGGCGGACATCAACCAGGTGGACATCAACCAGGTGGACATCAACCAGGCGGACATCAACCAGGCGGACATCAACCAGGTGGACATCAACCAGGCGGACATCAACCAAATCATCAAATGGGCCGCAGAAAACAATGGACATCAAAACTTTACCCGAGTATAAAACAAATTCCAACCACACAATAGAGCGAAAAACTAATGTGAAGGACCTGGGAGTGATAATGTCAGAGGATCTCACTTTCAAAGACCACAACAATGTATCTACCACATCTAGGAAAATGACGGATAATGAGAATCTTCAAAACTAGGGATGCCAAGCCCATGATGATTCTCTTCAACTCGCTTGTGCTTTCTAGGCTGGAATACTGCTGGACACTAACTGCCCACTTCAAGGCTGGCGACACTGCAGACCTGGAGAGTGTACAGAGAACTTTCACGGCACACATAAGTACGATAATGCACCTGAACTACTGGGAACAGTTGAAGGTCCTTGATCTGTATTACTTGGAAGTGAAGGACGAGGTATTATCCCTGAATGGTATACTGGAGGAGGAGGTATCCCTGAATGGTATACTGGAGGAGGAGGTATCCCTGAATGGTATACTGGAGGAGGAGGTATCCATGAATGGTATACTGGAGGAGGAGGTATCCCTGAATGATATACTGGAGGAGGAGGTATCCATGAATGGTATACTGGAGGAGGAGGTATCCCTGAATGGTATACTGGAGGAGGAGGTATCCCTGAATGGTATACTGGAGGAGGAGGTATCCCTGAATGGTATACTGGAGGAGGTATCCCTGAATGATATACTGGAGGAGGAGGTATCCCTGAATGGTATACTGGAGGAGGAGGTATCCCTGAATGGTATACTGGAGGAGGAGGTATCCATGAATGGTATACTGGAGGAGGAGGTATCCCTGAATGGTATACTGGAGGAGGAGGTATCCATGAATGGTATACTGGAGGAGGAGGTATCCCTGAATGGTATACTGGAGGAGGAGGTATCCCTGAATGGTATACTGGAGGAGGAGGTATCCCTGAATGGTATACTGGAGGAGGAGGTATCCCTGAATGGTATACTGGAGGAGGAGGTATCCCTGAATGGTAAACTGGAGGAGGAGGTATCCCTGAATGGTATACTGGAGGAGGAGGTATCCCTCAGTCTTGACTCAGAGGATGGGAATGTGTTGCCGGGCTTAATAAGGCTGTTAGGTAAATTTAGTACTGAGTTCATCTGTTCCTTGCATGTATACAGAGAGAGAGAGAGAGAGAGAGAGAGAGAGAGAGAGAGAGAGAGAGAGAGAGAGAGAGAGAGAGAGAGAGAGAGAGAGAGAGAGAGAGAGAGAGAGAGAGAGAGAGAGAGAAAGAGAGAGAGAGAGAGAGAGAGAGAGAGAGAGAGAGAGTTCGTCTATAAAACAACAGTGTCTTTGACACCAGACAGGCTGACTCACAGCCTCTATATTTGCAGTGAAGATTTCCAGATTAATTCCTTTATATGTCTGTAGAGTGAGAAAGAAGTGTACTGCCACAATGGGTTGGTGGGTGGGTTGGTGGATGGGTTGGTGGGTGGGTTGGTTGGTTTATTTGGTAGGTGGGTTGGTGGGTGGGTTGGTTGGTTTATTTGGTGGGTGGGTTGGTGGATGGGTTGGTTGGTTTATTTGGTGGGTGGGTTGGTGGATGGGTTGGTGGGTTTATTTGGTGGTGGGTTGGTGGGTGGGTTGGTTGGTTTATTTGGTGGGTGGGTTGGTGGATGGGTTGGTTGGTTTATTTGGTGGGTGGGTTGGTGGGTGGGTTGGTTGGTTTATTTGGTGGGTGGGTTGGTGGATGGGTTGGTTGGTTTATTTGGTGGGTGGGTTGGTGGGTGGGTTGGTTGGTTTATTTGGTGGGTGGGTTGGTGGATGGGTTGGTTGGTTTATTTGGTGGGTGGGTTGGTGGATGGGTTGGTTGGTTTATTTGGTGGGTGGGTTGGTGGGTGGGTTGGTTGGTTTATTTGGTGGGTGGGTTGGTGGGTGGGTTGGTTGGTTTATTTGGTGGGTGGGTTGGTGGATGGGTTGGTTGGTTTATTTGGTGGGTGGGTTGGTGGGTGGGTTGGTTGGTTTATTTGGTGGGGTGGGTTGGTGGATGGGTTGGTTGGTTTATTTGGTGGGTGGGTTGGTGGATGGGTTGGTTGGTTTATTTGGTGGGTGGGTTGGTGGGTGGGTTGGTTGGTGGATGGGTTGGTTGGTTTATTTGGTGGGTGGGTTGGTGGGTGGGTTGGTTGGTTTATTTGGTGGGTGGGTTGTGTGTGGTGGGTTGGTTGGTTTATTTGGTGGGTGGGTTGGTGGGTGGGTTGGTTGGTTTATTTGGTGGGTGGGTTGGTGGGTGGGTTGGTTGGTTTATTTGGTGGGTGGGTTGGTGGGTGGGTTGGTTGGTTTATTTGGTGGGTGGGTTGGTGGATGGGTTGGTTGGTTTATTTGGTGGGTGGGTTGGT